CCAGATGCCGTTTTTCTATCAATATTTTATTTGGCAAACCTAACGGAATGCGGCTGATAAATTGTCGAGTCAATGAATTGTTCAACATTTTTTTGTAGTACATATATATAGTTAGACTACATTTGTAAAAGTCATATTTCCCACATGATATATCTTTTTTAAAATTTCACTGTTATAAGTAGTTTATCTTAATATATTATTTCCGGATTCATCTTGAATTCTCGAATCCTCTTTTTCAAAGCTTGAATAGTGACAAACGTGTTAAGTTTAATTAATTAAACAAAACATAATTATGTCTGCTATGACCTACTCAATGAATTTTATTTTTGAGCAAACAGAAAATTATTTCATTATCTTATTAATAAATCAGTCATTCAAACGCATTAAATATTTCTATTAGCAATCACGTGATGAGTCAACCTGTATGTTTCTATCAATAAATCCTTCAAAATTAATTCTTTCTCGGTTCATGTTTCAATTTTTATATAAAGATGCAACCAAACACGCAGAGAGAGTGATATAAAGTTACTTTATTCTACGCGACTACACTTAGATTGTACTTTTATACTACAGTTACAGTTAGATACGTGTACGATATAAATTAAACATCAATTGCGACAAATTCAATTGAATAGCAAATTTACCAATCTAAGAAACAAAACTACGAAAAAGATTTTGATTCTTAATTGTTTTTTATGCTTTTTTAAATTTACATTACATTTGAATATAAACCTTATTTGAATCGTAACAAACCTACACGGTTCAGGTTAGTAAAAAAACGTACTAAATAATATCGAAAAAGCCGAGTTTTTATCAGCCTTTTCACAATTCCAAGTGCGTCTTTTTTTAGGGACTGAAATATAAATTAAACAACAACCAAGATAAGTTCGATCGAAAAATAAATTTACAAATCTGAAAAAAACAATTTTGGAAAGATTTTGATTCATAATTAATATTTTTCTTACTTTTATATATTTTTTCCATAATTATTTGGCTGTTGATTGACTAACACTTTCGCTCTGAAAAGAATTATACATTTTCCGAAATCGTATATAACGGAACCCCAATATTTTCCACGTGGCAAAGTTTCTAACTGGTCGGTCAATACTACTTTTCCCCTCTATAAATTTGAACATATTTTATTTTAGTTTGTTTACATTCAAACCACTTATAATAACTTTTAAATCAGGTTCAAATTAATAATTAATTCCTTATTTATTTTATTATAATTTAATTAGGGTTATTGTAATGTAAATTACACACAGTAAGTAATAACTTACGTAGTTAAAAATGTATGACCCAAAGATGATATTTTTAAAATTGTATTTTTATAAAAAATAAATTAGTTGATTAATTATTATGTTTATAATTAATGATCGCAATCAATCAAAATCAATTTTGTCCTAAAATCGATTCAAGAAGTATTCAAACCATTGAGCAAATTTCTTTATGAACTAGTAATTCCTGCTCAAAAGTCTAAGGTATTTTTAGATTCGATAAAATTATGTCGAATGAAATGATATATTTTGGCAACACTAGCTAAGTTATGAGATAGGTGAACGTACCGTTTGGCAAACAGTCAATGTTTTTTAGAATATTCTGCATCTGATTTTATTATTAGTTTAGAAGGTAAATAAACAACGTTATTACGTTATTTTAAACTCATTTTTCTAAATTAATTCTCACCGACTTACGTAGGAAGAGTCATTAACATAGAAACGCTTATATCATCACTAGTATCATTTGCATACAAATGATAGATTAGAGTATTAGTATTTTATGTACACACATATTCATTATGTTTGTGTGCTGAGGAGGGGCGTAAATACCAAATGTTTTAAGCTCTTATGCTCATTACCCATTTGCCATTACCCATTGAGTGAAACTGAATCCAGATTTCGAATGGAAATTATTACATGAATTAGGAATAATTTGGGGTGGTTGAGAATGGATGAGAAATGGATTTTTCACGCATTTATTTATAATGCCATAAGCAAAAGATGCCTCAACAAGCCAATTTGAGAAGTCATTTAGCTATAAGGTTTGATACAATAAACTGACCGATCCCGTAGTCTTTAGAAACATTAGCTTGTAAGTGCTTTAATTATTAAATACAGCTTATTCTCGGTCCATATCTTCATTCTTTATTCGTCATCAAGATTAATCGTGAGTTGATGTTTAAATTATATTTTTATATTGTTAGTTACTTAATTAAATTACTAATATTTTCGAGGCAGAATGACAATCGACTTTGCCTTGTGTAGTTTATTTCTAAATAAATATAGATATATTGTCAAGATTTTTTCGAAATTTTAGTCACGTTCTGTAAAATTAATATGTCAAGCACTTAAAAAATCGGGTGCGGAAGCATCTCAATAATAGGAGCAAATATAGGAGCAAATCCGATACATCATCAAGTAAATATATATTTTTTTGTTATTTAAAGAAAATATCTAATTATTTTGAGGCCTTTATTTCAGTTGGTTACAAAACATGGTTTTATTATATTAAAACGTTTTTTAGTTATTTGTATCGAGAATTTATTACTTTAGACGCGCAGCTTTTTATAATGTATTATCAAACACATATCGGGAATTTTTTCTGATCTTAAAGCCTTTTCTTTATTCAATATCAATCAATAGCAACGCTATGTTAATTTGATCTGATTATAATAAACAAACATTTAAATTTCTCCGTGAATAGTTTGTTGTCATATTATTTTTACTCTAATTGTTAGCAGTGTGTGTGGATAAATTTGGGCAAAAATTAAATAATTCGATCAAGTTTAGTTAAAGTTTATTAATTTTTTTTTCTTTCGGAATTATTTTTCTTTTGTATTTTTAAATTATAGCTTTGTGTTTGCCCTACTGTATCGACTCACTATGTAAGCATATAGGTATTTAGAATTTTTAGCGGTTAATGGTTGACTTTCAACTTCTGTCGTGATCGCTGAAAAGTTCAATTTTATATTTAAATATGAAGAAACTGTACAGTTTCAAATAAGATGTATTATATAAATAAACTTGTGGATGGCTTGATTATAAGTTTAGGTATGAACTCTAATTTAACTTTAGTTTCATTGCTGTATCTTGGTGCATGTCTTCAATGTCAGCATTCGTACTCTAAAGTTGATCCAGCTGAATCTGGGTCAATTTATTGCGATGCAAACAAGATGCATCCTTGCGAAGTAGGGTTAAATTTCATCTCTTGGTTAAAACGCGACTCTGTAATGGTATCGATTTTCCTGCTGTGAAGGGCAAGGTTGTTTCTGAGGTCACTTGCAAAATTTCCAGACTTTTCCTACAACGGTCTTATTTGATTTGTATTAGGAATCACTTTTATGCAGCAAGTCCGTTTTCTCGCAACATGTTAAGTGCAATGGTGGACAAGAAAAAAGGTCATTATTTGAACGCTTCAACAAACATGAAAGACATATTACTCAACATACATTATAAAACGAATATCCAACCAATAGCCTATTTTATAGTTGGCCTGTATATTTTATCGATACCAATAATAGAAGTCTAAATTTTATCGCTTCATTATCAGTCAACCGCACGTCTGGAAATAGCAATGGTAGTGATACTGGTTCTAAATAGAATAAATAATTTAATGCGTCTGCACTATAAGAGATAGCTGGCTATCTTGGTAATAATGTACAGGTTAATGAGAATTATCGTACGTAACTAACCAAGGATATTCTTGAGGCTGTAAATTTGATTAATTTATTTAAAATAACTACAAGTTTACTGTTATCCTTTATTATCAAATGAAAATACTAAATCTTCTCAAGTTAAGGAGCAATAATATATATTGATACTTAAATTCGGAGTTTACCCACAATGTGTAATAGGAAAAACTGAAAATAAAGTAAATCCTGACAAAATACTTAAATACTTTTTTGTTGTTTTAAAATTATATATCGTCAATTAATATTGTTTGTTCCTTTTTGGTAGCAAGAATTCCTGCGGTATTTTAATTAAAAACAGGATCTGTTTCATTGATCTATCTAAACCATGATGTCTGATGGGTTCAGTATAATTCCTGATAACCTTTAACCGTTTAAAAATAGAATTACCAAATAGGGTAGTAACAAACAACTCAAAAATAACCCGAGCATAAAGAGCAACTACTGGTGGATAAAGTGAACAATTCTGAGAATTGCTTTAGTCACTTTATCTATAAAATTCTGACCGAATCTATTACAACCAATTATGTTAATTAGTGTACCGACAATTTTATATGCGGTATGGTTGAAACCGAGTATTGGTTGTACATTTAATTGTGTTTTAGTATAAGATTTACGTTCAAACAATAAATAGAACAAAATCGATTTACTAATTAATTCAATAGTGTTGATGGAAGATGAAATAATCATTAATAAGAGATGCCAGATGGTAAATTTAAGTTGGAATGTTTTTACCATTGCAGGCAAGTTTGCTTAATTCTGTTTTCGAAATATCGCCAATTGATTTTAAAATCAAATTTATGAAGACTGTAATATCTATGTATAACTACATACTTAATAAATGTTTAGGACAAAAAACCAACACTTAAAGTGAAACAAGGTAAAATTCTATTTTTACTAAGAAAAAATATTTTTCCCTAAAAAAGTGGAGTGGACTAATGGCAATCAAAGCAGGTAGTATTGATCACATGTTATATTATTTTTATAGTAAATTAAAAATATATGTTAAAGATTTAGAACTGGAAGATTAGAGAATAAGCACTGAAATAATACATGCGAGAATGGAGCCATAAAGCTATCAGATAACAGTTTAAATAATTAATAGATAAAAGACAAGAACAATTATCACAATATTTTACTCACGATACTAAATGTAAATAATTAATAGATAAAAGACTCTTCTTTTATCTATTAATTATTGTTGTCTAACAATTATCACAATATTTTCTCACGATACTAAATGGATGGGAAATAAAGAAAAGAACTGTTTGTGTAATGCTTATGCTTAAAATTAATTTCTTTTTTTTTTCAGTGAAAGCTCCATGTTTGTCTCGAAAAGCAGATTTATTCTTAAGACTTGTGGAACCACAACACCGCTGCTCTGTCTGCAACCACTTTTACTGCTCGCTGAACAATACGCAGGATTTACTGAAGTCGAAGATCTGTTTTATTCAAGAAAAAGCTATAAGAGGCCTGATTTGCAAGTTTCCCCGCATCAACATTTTGATCAAGAAGTAAGTGGATAATAATAAAAATAGCATTATTATAATGGGAATTACTAAAAATAAAAAATACGTAAACTATAAAATACTGAATCAAAATCATGTGTCTTTTAATTGATTTTAATATGTTGTATCGTCCTTTTCTACCCTACTACGTCTACATGAAATTTAGCATGACATTTTCAGAAAAACGATTTAAGCAAATTTAGATTCAAAAAATTGCAAAATTTTTCTGCAAATGCTATATTGTAGTTTAAAGTAGGAGAGTTCGTTTTTAAAGATAAAATGTTTATTTCGTATTTGTATATAAAGGGGTCTTGATAGGTTTATTTGAAATTTCTATTGCATATCCGAATATTGCCGATAAATTATTTATTAAATTACAGACAGTAAAATTTAAATGCAAAAAATAACTGTGTAAAGCACAGTTAATTTAGAAATGTTAAAAATTTAAGTGAACATTGATTGATAATTCTTTTAATTCAATTTTTAGCCGATTGAAATTTCCTTTGTGCATGGAACTATATTTTCTAGACTGCTTACATTTTCAGTTTTGGCCAGTGGCCAGTTCCTTCCCGCTTTTTAGTTAAAGGTATATTGGGTAAGGCTAAGGTTATCAGCATTCTTAAATGTCTGCACGAATTAACACATTTATCTACATTGATAATATCCTTTCCAAATGTAAACATTTCGAAATTAGCAACTCCAACTAGATTTATCATTCAAGGCAATTCCCAATGGTTATCGCTATTATGTAATCGTATATCCAAATTGTGTCGTTATTATATAATCGCCTAATCAGATTGTTTTTTAATCATGGATATAGTAATCCAGTAGGTATATTTTATATTATATTAGTATTAGTATTTTTTAAATAATTTTTTCCTGAATTTATTATTTTCGATTTGTTTAAAATCCGTGCTTTTTTACTTCTAAAGGAAGGTGTGATTGATGTGTGAAAATGGTGGGATATGAGTTAATTAGAATTTACTTATTTATTTTTAATATATGATCGTGGTCTAGCGAATGCTGCCAAATTTTAATATAAAAACCCATCTTGATCATATTTATATCGACTTTCACTTGACCACATTGATATGGAAATTCAAGCTACATCTCAGGTGCTGAATAATTTTCGTTATTCTTTTTCGTCACCAAATGTGCGAAAGCGATTTGCTATCGTAAAAAGTGGTTTCTAATAATAATCTTAACGTAACCGGTTAAAGATATTGTAATTGCTCGGGACAGCTTCACGAAAGTTACGTTTTGTTCTGTAAACGAATACAGCTGAAACGTGCAGTAACGAGATATTTTTGAAACATTTTTTTGATGAATGTTCTATTGATAGTTTGTTCGAAGTTTCCAAGACAAGTTTCATCTTTAATTCTATCGATATTAATGTATGTGATAACGCATTAAAAAACATTATAACACAAAAAATTGTTTTCCATTTTGCGTTAGTTTGAAGTGAATTATGAAAATTATGTCCCAAAATTTCAAATTATACAACTCTTTTTTTCAAGTCCGTTTAATTACAGTTGATTTTTTTTCAGGTTGCTCTTCTAGATTCCCTTTTTCCTGATGGAGTTGCATACTGTCTGGGAGCGGTTAACAGGGATTGTTGGTATTTATACACTTTAAATCCCTTGCCTCAACGACACCCCCAAATTCCTGGACTATCTACCACTGATGCTGACCAAACTCTTGAAATATTGATGACTGACTTAGATCCGGATGTTATGGCTATTTTTACAAAAGTGGAATGCCTTAACGGCACGGAAGCAACAAAAGTAAGATTTTATTCTTAATTTTTTAACTAGTTATACCATCGCAATGTTCGACTGAAATTTATACCATTTCTTCAGAGGTGTAAGATTACAGTAGAAATTAATTTATTGGATATTAATATTTTTCCAAAAATAAAATCAATTTGAGAAAGGTTCTTTTTGGATAATTATAATATACTAACTATGGTTTTATCTGTTCGTAGGATAATTTGGAAGCTATTTTCATCGACAAAATAAGTAAATTTGTTTTATTAATTCAATGTTCTCACTTATATTATGAACGATTATATATAATTTTTGAGCCAATAAATTTAAATTGCTTTTAAATTAAATAATAACGTAATAGTGACATTAGTGGAACGCTCAACCCACTTATGGTACATTACTCGTTTTTTATGGCTAGGGGCAAATTTAGCTCCAGTAAAATTCGAATTCATTTTTCTGTTTTTAGCGAACAAGTAAAAATACACTGTATGGAAACCGCAAGAACTAATCATACTCGAGATAACTAAAGTTGTATTGCTGACCTAATTAAGTACACACTCTCTTCTTATAGCTGAAGACAGATTTGCTTCATGTAAAATTATTTATTTGATTTTTACAGTACAAGTAAGAATAATACCCTGCATTGAAAACACTGCTCAACACTCATTCGCGAAATCAGTAAAACTATGTATACATTTGATTGACTTCTAAGAGCGATTTAAATAATCGTTTAATATTTTAGATTTTTTCTCATGAGGCTTTGTCTGAAAAAAATACTGACGTAAAACTTTCTCAAGTTTTTTATAAATTGTATAATAGAAAACTTGATTTAGATATCTTTGTATGCTTTAAAACTAGACAGAGTATTATAAGTATTTGAAAATATCTGCTAATTAAAAAGAGCCCGTACTTTCGATTCCTCGCCCTCAATAATCTCAAATGTAGAAATTTTAATCTTATTTATAAAGTCATAAAGTACAAGTATAAAAAAGTAATAATAATAATTTTAATTTACACTTTTTCCACTATGTGTATTCGTGTATTCGTTACAGTCAACCTGTGATTTAACCAAGTTTGTTTAAATTGTCTTATTTTTACCAAGTGAATGCCATGATATCGTCATTATCTACCCCATATTATAATTTAGACGATATATACCTATTAATAGTGTCTGTAAGTCATAAATATAATATTAAGTGGTAAAACTGTCCTTTTTATTTAGAAAGCCGGAATCGACAAGATAATACCAAATATGACTATAGATGACTTCCTGTTTGAGCCCTGTGGCTACTCAATGAACGGAGTATCGAAGAATGTAAGTATACTAAATAACGTCTAAAATATTAAATTTGTTAGTAGCTCAATTCTGTTCATATCCAGTTTTTCTCGAAAATTCAGAAATTGAAAGAAACTGGATTCTGTATAAATGGGATTAATTCGTCGCAGGACATTTATATTTAGTTTTTCGTCATTTTTTCAGTTTACTATTTAAACTATAGCTATTTCATATATCATGATCATAGCAGACACGTATTTAATTCAAAATCATATTGTATATTAAGTACTGAAAATGTATATGATACATATATATTTTTCTCCTAAAACTCTTGAGATGAATCATTTTTTTTCTACTTAGTTTTAACAATAAAAAATCACAATTGGGCCAAGTTCGATGTTTATTCATGTGTGTTTGATCGTTTTTTGAGATATTATCATCTTGATAATGATTCAGCGAATGTTGCAATTAAAAATGATCTATCACGCTTCGTGTAGCGGAATGTTCAATCTCTTTGACTGAGTTTCTGAATTATACATAAAGTTTAAATTTTATGATTTTTTGCCACATAAAATTGTCTCATTTCTTAGTGCTGCTGATTGTCAAACACCTACATTTTTAGTTGTATCGCTCATATATTTTCCAGTGACTTTTCTTTCATAGCACTGGTACTCCATAAAACACGTGTAAATAGTTACCTAAAACAAATGTACTACCATTCAAAATATTTTATTGATAATTATTATTTCATGCGTTTCAAGAAATGTTTTGCTTCACGAGATGTAAGTAAATTAGTATACCTACTTTGAAATAGCTAGGAATTTTACCATAAAACTTCTTTGCCAACTTAAAGGGTGAAGGTAACTAATTTTTGTATTGATCTTAAATTACTTGTTAGTATTTTTTATGAATCGTTACCATTCCTCTCCAAGGCGCATTTTAGGTGAAACATGTCAGAAATTTAATTTTTTTTTATGGAACTTTCACTCTGTTTTACTTCCAGTAACTAATCTTATTTAATGACTTATCGAAATCGACGAAATCACTTGATTGAAAGGTTTCAAAATATGTGTATAACTTAAGTAAATCTAAGCCCGAAAAGTAGAGACAATTTAACCATTGTTTGATGAAGTTCTAAATTCAAAAACGCTGCGCTAAATAAATCCAATTCCAAGGCTCAGTCGAATTAACGAAATCAAGTAGTAGCAAAAAATAAATTTGCATTTTTTCCCAGGGCTATTACATGACAATTCATATCACCCCTGAGCCAGACTTCTCTTATGTGAGTTTTGAGACAAATGTTCCGGTAAGCAGCTACAAAGAAATAATCGGCAGGGTCCTGGATACGTTTTTGCCGGGGAAGTTCACAGTGACTGTATTCAATAACCAAGTAAGTAAAACATTAAAGCAGCATACAGAGGCGCTAGTAAAAGCTTGCAACTATACAGTTCGTACTTCACAGGAGTTCACTAATGTGAATGAAAATGTATTTCGCTTATTTTAATGAATATTAGGTTTTTACTGAAGGAGCTTTTGAGAAACGTTTACTGTCTTTCTAGTTGTCTCCAACCAAAGACACATCCAAAGAACTTCTTTGTTTGAACCAATTTGGCAACAGATGGGATCGCCGCGACATACAACAAATCAGCTTTAAAAATTACGATCTGATGTACGCGTTTTACACCAAATTCCCCAGCTGAGGGTGTCGGGCAAAGTTGCGCCCTGGCGCAACTCAACCTCTTCATTCTCCATACTCCATCTCCACCTCATCACTATCTCACATATCAACTACATCGCGCAAATTCAAACAGTTCAACAAATCTATTGCTAGCATTTACGCAGAACTGACAAAGCTGGGAGCTAATATTGCATCCGACAAATCTTTAGTGGCATTTTATCAAGCAATCTTGAAAAGTCTACGCAAAAAGAAAGTGAAATTTACTCCCAAAGATTTCTTTTGCGATTGTACTAAGGATGAGACTCCCACAATGCGTCGTTTTCGTGAAGCTTTTGATCCATTTTCATTTTTCTTCATTTACTTCACGTTATTTTCACCCGTCTTTACATTCACGGATTTTGAGTCACCTTTGGTCATGTTCTCCTGGTGGCGTAACAAGATATCGTGAGAGTTACCATTAGAACCGCTTAAGTAGAGTGACGTAGTGGCCTTGTTTTCCTTTAACCTATGAGGGTTGGGTTGACATACAGATGTATGTACATATACCTATCTTTAGTATATTGTACCATACACACACTATGTTCCCCTTACTTATGCGGGGAGTTTGAACTTCCCTTTTTTATTTTTTACGTATTTCCAACTTCAACATGCAAACACTGTTTAGAGTGTTCGCGCATGCCAGTGACTAAACATATTCGTGTAAAAATCATATACTATGCCGATGAACTGTTTTTAGAACAATTTTAACGCCTAGGAAGTGAAGCTATTAAGAATGCTCATTTAATGCAGCTAACACATTAACTACTATTAGGTTCCTGCAGTATATGATTTTTATGTGTCTATGTCGATTTCTCAATAATATTTTTGGGGCCTTTAGCAAAAGAATTAAATATAATGTGTACAAAAAATTAGGTGCACAATATAATACGGTATGTTTTGTTTAGAATTCTACCACCAGGGTTGGCAAAGGTCCATATATTATTATTGTAAACTATTATAGAGTAGATAATCACTATTTTGGAGAGCTAATATACATTAGATACAAATAAATCGTCTATATTGTTAATGGTGTTAAGAGTAGCAAGTCAACGGCATTTTTTAGTTGCTTGGTTGCTTAGACTACAGGGTGCTAGATATAGGTGCATTGCTGGGTCAATACCTACACCACAATATATCAAGGCCTTATCGGATGTAGTGCTTTTACTTCTCAAAAGCAAAGTTTTCTCAGAACCTAGTTGTCTCTAAAGCTTCAGTGTCCTGTGCGTTAAAACACTGGTATTATTTTACATACTTACTTTGTCATTGGTTTTTAATTGAATATCAAAATTGGGATTTTAATTTTGTTTTAATATGTATGTACGTGACATATCTCAATTAGTTAAGGCTTCCGTAACACAAAGCAATATAAACTCCTATGTGCCAAACTTAGTACCTACTAGCAACTATTCGCAACTATTTTCGTTAGGTGTGTGAAATTTGTTCCAGTGCTTCTGCACGGTAAGCAAAAGCACAGGTACAAGTTGGCGCAAATCTGGCAATTTGGCAAACTTAATTTTTAATAATTGTAATTTTATTGCTTGATGCTGATTGCTCTTTATATGGTAGTTATTACGTTTGGGAATTTATATTTAGCCCAAGTTCTTGATTATATAGTCAAGTAGATTTAGTTTACGTATATTGTTAACTTGTGCAGCACAAGACTAAGTAAACTTAAATTAAAAAACAAGATCGACTTTCATTGTTGGCACACTTTGATTCTTCTTCATTCACATTCTTCAGTTTGCAGATTCCAGGTTGTTATTGAAAATGTCCAATCCATGGCGCAAAAAAAATATATTCTCTTAATATTAGGAATATACATCAAGTATTCAATAATATTGGAATTACCCAACTGAAGCAAACCCGGCAGGCTAAAATGTATGCAAAATGCAAAAAGTTACTTACCTTCCTTAATTCTAGGAATTATCGACAAAAATGTAGAAACAGAGTAAACTTTGTGGCAATATGTCAGTTATTACTATCTTTTGGATAGCGGTAAGTTAGATTAAATCTTGTGTGTTTTTGTTCCAGGGATATGTGGTTTAATTTGTACCAGTCATGGGACACCCTGGATAAACAAACTTAAAAACATGAATTTTTTATATCTTTTAATGCATACATCCGAGTACAACTTAAAACAAACGAAACCAATAAATATCAAATTACAATGTAATGCTAGTGAAAGCAATAAATAGATAAAGGCAAATAAATACAAAGCTGTTACTAACTTGGTGGTATTCTATATTATCTTCAATTCTTCTTTATTTCCTGAAATATATGATCAACGGTAGAACGTATAAAAATTGTTCCTAACAAGATATATTTGGAGCTCTTTACTTTTGTCTCTACTCAGCTCAGGGTACCAACAAACAACGCGACGCTCCAAAATTATTTTTATTAATGAAACACTAAATATTACATTTTCAATTTTCTGAAAAAAATTATTATACTGTGTTTTGAGTGTTTCAGATATACTATTATTTTATTTTGCATTATTATTGTTCGTTCATTTTTTATAGCTTTTGCCCAAATTTAAAGCAATATTTACAAGGTTTTAGGTAAAGAACCAGAAGGTTTTATCGGAGCTGTTTTGCATGTCTTGTGCGTTATTCTGTTATCGTCGTCGGGTTGTATAAAGTAACATTATTGTTTTGTCATTTTTCAATTATCTTTTGCCTCCAAAATGGATTGCTTCTGTCGGGGTGAAAAGGTAACTTGATCATAAATTATTTTAACTGTTGAAGCATTATGTGATCATCAATTATATTTTCTTTGAATCAGTTTTTTTCTAGCCGCATTTAACAACCAGTTTAAAAATTAACCCTCTTTTCCTGTTCCTTGTATATTTCGTTGTTGGTATCATTATCAATTTCATTTTAGTTATTTTTAAATATCAGAGCAAACATAAGTAAGACATTTAGAATGATTTTAGGAATTTGTTTGTTCCACATTCAATTGCTATCAGCATCAAAATAGATACAGCTTTTTGGTGTTAATTATAATATTCGATGTATGTCTTTAATTAGTATTTAAGAAAATGAAAGGAATATTAAGATAATACAGAACACCCACACGTATGAAAGGTACAAAGGGCGCAACGACTTATTTGTAACCATGTTGGATATACAATTTTTTGCTTCTCGATAAAACTTTGGTTTTAACGATTGGTTACAAATTGTATAGATTTTCTGCGGGTTTAATTTGATTAGGAACCAGTTATGGGAAATTTATTGTTGCGTACATTTTTAGGTATTGGTTTGAGAACATTTAAAGTAAATCATATTTTCTGGTTACCACCCTACTGCCATCCTTTTTCCCATTTTGTACTAAACGAAATTTTCAAATGCTAGCTTTAGTTCGCTCCAAATTCGTTTTTAACCCAAGGGTATTTCTTGGGGCACTTGTTGCACGTCTGCAGCTCCACATCCTGTTTAAGAGCCCTGCTTGCTAACTGGCAGTTATTTGGCGTTTGGCATGCGATCTCGCGAGCTTGCTTTACATGTTTTCTACAATCCCAAGGATGGAATTTAAGCAGCTTTTTTAGAGGTGTTGGATGCTGCATCCACTCAATAGCTTGCGAGTTTGTCACAAACCAGACATCAGGCTTTGATAAAACAACGTCTAGAAATTCCTAAAATGTTTGTGTTAAGCGTTATTAACCGTTGAAAATTGCAGGTGTATTAAAACATTTTTTTTGTTGTTGTTCAACTGTCTTATAACTATCACCTTGAATACATTATTAGATTGTAACTTTCACGTAAATGATGCCAAATCACTTCATATCGTGTATACTTCAATGGTGTAAATAATTACATTTTCTGTCGACACTCCAACTTTGGAATTAATTTCAACATTGGCGTAATATTACTATAAACTGCGAATTTAATAAAAACTCTTTTCAATGTGTATTTCACCCTGTACATATTTTTTTTCTTAGATTTTTTATAAGAGTTAAATTAGGATTTTTGCTGACAAGTTACTACCAAATTTTTCTTATGTTTGTAAAAATTTTCAAAATAATTATTAGACAATTATTAATTAAAATGAAAATTAAACTAAAGACAGACAGAGAACACTCTGAAAACCAGTATTTTATTTCGGCCGTGAATTTTACATAGACCTTGTATGGAAATAATCCTTCCATGTAAAATACAAGAACGAAGTAATTGATGTCAAGGTTTCAGGAATATTATTTTCGGGCTAAACCCAGCTGACGAGAGGTAATGGCTCGAAACGGGTCCTGGGGGTGTGAGATTAGCAAAGCTCTAAATCTGTAGCTACTTTCATCAGAAACTTAGCTTCATAGTTTTTCGACCAAAGTATAACTCTTTGGCTATTGGTTTACCGACTCTCAGATTATCTACATTTGCCTTGAGCTAAAATCCGTTTTTTTTTTCATTTACCTGAAAAGCTGCTAAATATTCAGTGTTTTCGAACCAAGCTGCTTGTAAATGGATACCAAATGGTGCTCGATTTGTCGAATAATGCCTATTGAAGTTTCTAATCAGAGTTTGATATATTTCTTGGCCTGATAGTTCGGATGGGCAGGAATCTAATGTTGCGCAACTAATTTCCAGTGCTTCCAATTGATTTATTACCATTTCCCATAGACCTGGATAGGATCTTGTCGGGCACATTTGTCTAAAACCTTTACACACAGAAGTTTATAATAAATTGTTACGATGAAATTCTGCAAATAACCATAAAGAAATATGATTCGTTTGAATAATTAAAGTTGTTTTTGGGCTACAGGTACATGGTTTTCTACGGTGTCTCTACCGCTTAATTATGTTTTAAAATATCGATGTTAGATAAAAAAATACCTGTACTTTTAATTAAAAAAAAAATATTGCACAAAAGTGACGATGCAAATTGTAATTTTTTATTTAGACCTCTTTATATATGATTAAAATATTTAAAATGTATTAATTATTCTCAAACAGCTTTGTTCAAGTTGGATCGAATATCCACAATTGTTACCTAATAAATGTTTCCTGTATTAACTAAGTGTTTAATAAAGCTTGACTTTTCACTCGGAAACAGTGTGCTGGACAGAAAATCGAAGTAAAGATTTATTTTGCCCTTTAGAACACCACTGACAATATAAAAATGGACTATTTTTATTGCAAAACATGCTCCTTTGGCCTTCGATGGCAGTTAATAAATATCTACAGCAGTTAACTCAGAGTTAACAGAACTTGAACATCATATAAACTGCTCAACAAATTGAACATACAGCTTAGAGCGATTGCGTTTCTGTTTAAAGCGTTTTTGAGCCCCATTTATTTTTTGTTGGACAATGTTTTTGTGAGAATTAAGCACCTCGATATATTTTTTATATGGCGGCAACTAAAAAATGCAAGATTTCTGTGAATAAAAAAAGGTTTTCTAGATCTCAACACCAAGAGTTTACAGTTGAACGAAATAGCTCGAAAATTGGTTTTTAAATTGTTAGACCATCTCTTCTCTTTATAGGGTGGTTACGTTAAATACCAGCTTTTTTTGCTCTTGATCAGATTTTGATGATATAGAGCTGAAACTAAAATTTAATAGGCAATTTAAGACTAAAATTCGATATTCAGGATTGCGTGAAAAGTGACCCAAATCAGAATTGCCTCGAAATCTGTGGTTCTGACAGACTTTCAAGTAAAGCTAATTTTTCTTGCAAATATTTTGTTCATTAATGCAACCCGGTACATTGAATTTTTTTGGCAAGTCCATCAACAACTTTTCGGTTTCAACATCGGCCTTACGTTTTGAAAATCTGTTCAAGATAAAAATTCACTGCGAGATCAGAACGTTGAATTTATGACCACTCTGTAAAGAAACCAAATAGTCGAAAAACTGAAAAACTTTTCTTGCAATATGAGATCTATCTTATTGTTTGTGTCGTTGAAAAACGGAAAAAAGCGTATTTTAGTCCAACCAAGAGCCTGTGAAACTTTCTCGAATATTACAGCTTTTATTTGGCGTCCTGTAAACACTTTTTGCTAAAACACACACTAACTGAAAAGGAATTGTACTAAATAACGCTTCAAACAGAAATAGAATCGCTCGGAGCAATTATAATTTATCCAGTTCCGAAATTAGTCAAAATTTGTCCGTGCAACGTTGATTTTTTTAAGTCGTTTATTTCCGTAGCTAACCATTTATCGAGTGTAATTTATAAAGCAAAATCTAAAAAAAACAAAATTTCTATTTTCTATTGTCTAAAGTTTATATCGTGCAAACTGCATCACCCTGTATAATAGCAATAAAAAGTAATGTAATCTAAAATGTTAACGGTTTTATATTTTTGTTTGCTTAAAATTCAAAATATAATGCGAATAATGTGGCAAAAATAACAGGAATTATCCATCTCAACTTTTATTCATCCAATCCAACCCAACTTACATTGATGAGGTATTTTGTAATCCAAAGTATACGGCCATAACGGTACATAAGAAAATGGAGCCACCATTGAACTATCATAAAGAAATCCAAACTCATTCATCATTAAGTACTGTCGGTTCCAACCAATTCGTAAAAATGGAGCTCGCAATCCTTTGATTTCTGTTAATCGAACAGTGGAAAATTTATTCAGAATATTGGCCTGACCCACCATTTCATCAAACCAATCTTCTATTGTTGCGTTTTCTGCCCACCATTCTTCTGGCAGTTTATGACTAAAACGTATGAGGTTTAGTACTTTTCCAAGTTAATGCAAAGTTGCTTACCTGATGGAATGTACAGCGATTTCATGACCATGATTCCACAGTTTCTGAGTGAAAAAGTAGTTGTTATATTGATGACTAACGAAGAAAGTTGCGGCTATAGGGCAGTTGTTAGGATTCAGATATTTTCCGGAGAAAATCTGTTTATAGAAATCAATATTTTCATCGTTAATCGAGTCTTCGAAAGTGACCAAAACCATCTGAGGCACATCGTGACGAGCGAGATGACCTGGTATTTGTGTACCTATTGGAAGAAGCTTTTAAATGAGCTTCCTTGCTTATGGGTAGTTTCCAAAGAAGCTTACCATTTTTGGAACAGAAACAGTCAGGCAACACACACCTAGCAGAATCACATACAGGAGCAGCAGGTGTGTTGGTTGGACTACAGTTTGCTTCATCAGTACCATCCGGGCAGTCGGCTGAACCATCACAAATATATTGCGTCGGTATGCAGGTGTGATTGTCTTCACATATTTCATGAGTGGAAGGGTCACAAAATGTAACATTGTGCGAGTTAATGGGTTCATCTGAATATATTCTAGAGATTGATGATTCTGGACAAAAAAGACATATTTTTACTGAGTCTATTTGAATAGGCCGCTCAACGTGCGGAAACTATGCTAATGAATGGCGGGAGTAAATGAGGGTCTTTGAGGCGAGAACTTTTTTATTTTTCTTCTATTATTATTATTATTATTCTTAAGAGAAAAAATCCTTTTTGGGAGAGCAAAACATTTTCCACTAAGAACTGATGAATATTTTAACGCTTCATAAATTATAGTTTTTATACACCATGTTAATTGTGAATTGGTGTTTGTAGTTTGTGTAAATTTTAAATCTGATGATGGCGCTGTTGTCTCGCCGAAACGTTATGAAATAAACGATATTCAAAATTTTTACTTCACACTTTGACTCAGGAAAGATGAGAATATAATTTATTATTTTAATTAAGTTGTCTTAAATTATAGCCCTGAAGATGTAAATAAAACTTGCAGAAACCTTGGTTAAAAAACGAAAAAAAAAAGTTTTTTTGAAGACCACATATGACCGATTTCCAATAATTCACTTTTCACTCGAACTTGGAGAGTAACTTATACAATTTTGCGGTGGATGTAAACTCTTGAATAGGTCTCTTATTTTCTTAACAAGGCTTCTTCGTTATTCTTCATACTCTTGAAACTTTAAGCAGCAAAAATGTTGCAAAAAAATTGAATATCTGGAAAGTAATTGATGATTGATTGTTTAATTTTTTATTGGTAGATATAGAGATTTCCTTGTAGAAAATACGAGAATAAAAGAAAAACAGAACATGTTTACGGTATTATTCTTTATTTCAGCTTGTTTAATTTTTGGTATGAAAGCTGTTATTCAATTTGTTACCAATATTATAAAATGTACCAAAAAATGTTTAAATTTTAAATTTTTTTTAATAAAATTTAAATAAAAAAAAAAAATTTAATCAAGGAGTTTTATAACAAATTGCGTGTTTTAGAGATCTGTCCAAGAGGGGTGTAAATATCCCGATCAATACCTAATGAAAATAATGGGTTCCAAGTAAATAAGGTAAACTGTAAAGCACCCTGAATTTCGGGACACCCTTTAAATGTTGTTAAGTTGAGCAGAGTTTGAGCGATAAATAAAGTTCACTTGATCTTTAATCGATATAGAGCCATAATTTTTTGAAATCTTTATCCAGTTAAATGTTACATTCTCGTAATACCGTAATTGCTATTTTACGACTATGCAAGTCCCAAGCTTTCTAATAAACTCGTATTTATATCAACACATTGAAATCACAAATATAGTACCACATCAGCAGCGGTTTTTTACCAAAAAAAGTCCAGGTTGTCGCTAATTTCCTTTGCGCAAACTAACGACTTCAAGAAAGCGTTACCACAGCCAATTTATTCAGTTTCCTGCAATTGTTATTATCTTACAAGATACAGTTTTTTGTGCGAATTATCCTGAAACATCAATTTATCTAGCGATCTTCCGACAGTTTACAATTTTCTTTGCAATGACCTCAATTCGCTTCCTGTCTTTTAAGTTTGTCTTGACCGCTTTATACCTTTTACGCAAACCTATAGAGGCAAAACATTATTGGTTTATGACATTTTTTACCATACTTTAAATACAGAGATTATTTATGAAATAAATAAGTGTCTAAATATATTTAATGATTTAAGCATTCCCTATTTACTTAAGAGAATTTGAAACAATTATCACTTATTTCATTTGTAAAAGTGCGCAAGACTGTTCAGGCAAGCAAAGTTTGATTGCGCACTATTCTTTCTTAGTTTTAATGCACTTGTGAATTAAAGAAATAATTAGATCGTATTTTTTTTAATATTAAATAATTTATTTTCACTTGCATGTAAATACGTGCATATTTATGACAATTCAGTTGCATGTACAAACACGGGAAAGCGAACGATTTATTGATTTATTCCTCTGTGAATATTTAGACTTACCGGTTTCTTTAGCGCAGTTTCGAACTTTTTCGCGGGATTCACATATTTGACTGTCAACATCGAAAACTAAGCCTGTGGAACATCGAAAGTCAAACACCTCACCTTCGAGGCATAAATAGTACTTTGAACATTCTTCAGCGCTCCATAAGTGGTCAACATCCCTCGAACGTGGCTCTGGATTTCGGTAGAAACGGCCGGATTCTATGCATTTTATTTGGCCGGCATATACTCGTATTTCTAAAACAAAAAATGAGAAAATTGGAATAAATTAATATTAGATGAAGATATTGAGATAAGATCAATATAACTACAGCAGTTCTAGAAAATGTGTTTGTAGAATCTGGACAAGGTCCAATTTTGAATCGCAAGTAGGTTTACAATGATGTTATTAAGGCATTTTTAATCGTAAGTAGAAGTAACAAAAATTTTTATTTCGCATACAGAAAAGGCTATCAGGCTTTATCGGTCTTTCTGCCCGTTCTTTCTTTCTATTATTTTTAATATATAAGTTACAATGGATAAAATTCGATAGATGGAGGCAACTGTTTAGATTTTATTGCTAAAACATTTTCCAATGCAGCCTTTCGATTGCTTTGGGATGCATTTTCAAAAATGCAAACTTGCATTTTTGTGCACTTTGTATACCGACGTTTGAAAATATTTTCATTTTGTTTTCAAGATTGAGCATAAAATGATCATTTGGTTGACACACTAAGAAATTTAAAAAAAAATCGCCGTTTTCACATAATTTCTCATTCACTTATTATTATTTGGAAAATGTAAAATATGCTGTGAATGAAATACAGAATTGTTCTAGAAAGTTGATCTAAAAGGGCTTAAATTGATCAGCTAATTATTAATTCAATGAAAATATAATAGACAAGTTTAAAACCTGATATATCGAAACCAAACATYGATGGACATTTGCTTATGCGAGAAAAGYTATTTTGAGTTGTCRAAGTTAATTTAATGCTTTCTAATTTTCAAACATCTGAAAACTRGCAAAATATRTTTKCAATCAAAGGYTTAGAAAATAASAATTTTTTATTGTTTAATAGGTTCAAAGATATTTTGTAGRGTGCGACTAACATTTATTATATAAAATGTTGCTTTTACTCGGCTATCTGTTGTGAAAATAACAGTTTTTAGTATGCTTCATAAATAGTTATTGAGCGAGGAAAAGTCGGGGAATCGTRCTGGTTAAGAAGTAGAATCACGACTCGATCGCATTAATAACTGGAAAAATTTTGTGTCAAACTAGTGTTGCATTAAATTTAATTATTTTTCTTAATATGTGTAAAGGGAACTTGGTATCTAGACCACAGCTTAAAGATTAGCAGTACATAACAGATGCTTTAAACAATAATTTATCGAATGTAAATTAATTTGTGTAAAAACATCACAGATCGTATTAATTTTCTCTCCTAGTTAACATCAGTAGTTTAGCCATTTTTCATAGCGTTGTAATCATTAACTTAATTTTTTATATGATTTTTTTAAAAAGAAAACAATATTAGACCAAATTTATTTTTAATAAAATAAAAACGTAATGACGAGACCCCTGAAACTAGCTGTTTTTTCAAATACGGGATATTAAACATGACTATTATTGAAAGCTTATTTCTTTCATTTTATTAATTAACAAGAGGAAGTTTTACAAATTTTGAATGCAATTTTATTTCATTGATTTATTTCAAACTTGTTGATTAATAAATTTAAAGAAATCCAAGTTATTTTTGAATATTCATTTTTGAGATCTTTTTCTTTCATATTAGTTGCCTCAAAGTACTTTTTTGGATAAAAGGAAACATTTTCGTTTCGAAATCTCGTTTTAAATCGCACTTTGTCCTTCGGTGTAGATGCTAGGAGCAAAATAATCCCTCTCAACCCTAAAATGTACGCCACTAGCGCGTGACAGAAAATTAACTTACCTACCCAATCATTGGTAAAACCAGTGCAAAAATTCAGTTGTCTATTCAAATAATTTATGAAATATCAAAGTTATTTTGTTTTTGAACGTACAGAGAGCGGTTTAAGTGATGCCACTTAAGTTTGAATCATCCTGTAGGCATATTTATCTTCACCTATTTTAGGTTCATAGCAAGCCAATGATAGCAAAGCCAATGATTATTTAATTATTAATAATCATTTTGAAACAAGAAAAAACTTTTTGATAATTTAAGTGGTTGATTTTTAATCATAAAAATGAACGACTGATAACTCAAGTGTATTTTGAATTAGAATTTATTTAAAAAAATACTAAATTTGCAAATATTTCACCAGTATCATTCAGTATTTAATATTGTATGTGGTTCTTATTTATTTTGAAATTTACTCGTGCAATGCAAAGTTACGCAAAAATCCTATAAGTAGTCGTCAACCTTGTTAAGAATGCATCGTTATAGCAACTCTAAGTCAGTTATAGCTATACTCTGCATGGAAAAAAATCGATTGCATAATTTACTATAATACTTGCATATAGATTAACCAGTTCTTGCAACTTGAATTGCATCAGTTGAATCAAAGTGCATTTTTATCGCGACTAAACTGATTTTCGCTAATTCCTTTACGAAGTCTGCATTATAATGCAAATAGATAATATTCAGTTTAAAAATTAAGTTATTATTATTAAGTCTTGTATTTGGGCGTTTTGTTTAAAACACAATAATTTCTGATTTTAGCTGGATACGAAATATAATAATTAACAAAAGTTAGCACTAATAATAGTAAATCCTCATCTAATTTAGTTTTTGATTGATCCACTTAAAAATATTCCGACCGCCAAACTTTTGTGCTGAAGGCATACAAGAATTACAATTAACGTATAAAGTGAAATTAATCCAGTGTCATACTTAAATGGAATGCAAATGACCATTATTTTTAACGACCGGTGCTTTTACTTTTAGGAACTATAAACTCGTAAACGGCTGCCTTTATTGTTATTTGTATTTTTGCCGGTGCCTATTTTTTATTTTTTTAGCGTTCAATTACACTTGTATGTTCAATCTGGGATGGTTAATACATTTTCTCTTCAGTTGTGCATTATACTTATTTGAAAGAAATTAATTAGATTTCCTATTGCGTTACATGCAAGTGTGTTTAATTATAAAACTTTCTCAACCAACAGTTGATTATCAGACTTACCCAAAACAAGATGCGATACCGCGAACCAGAGGAACGTTTTCACTACGCGTCTTTCAATGTCTGTGTCCATCACTTTTTGCCGACTGACTCGACTACTACATCCCAAGAACATGTGTGCAAGCACAAACTATTTGTTTCCTTTTGCATTATTATTAACTTTCTCAATCATTATCATAAGAAAAAAAGCGACACGGAACATATAAGAGCAGTTCTATGCTGGTAAATATATGGTTATTAAAGTTGAATTATGGATCACCTGGGTGTATTGGAAATGCGTTCTAGATTGGCGTTTTCTACCTGTGTTAGATTGAAAACTGAATCGAGTTTACAGGGTGTTCCAAAAAGCGTCCATCCACAAATGCACATCGTGCAACGCTTCGCTACCGAGCGACAATGTGTTAAAGTGTTATGAACTGTTTTCGAGCTTTATGAAGTGTATTCAAAATAAGATAAATTGTTTTTGCCTACAAATCAGCCTGCATCTCACCTTGTTTTGTCTCTCAGAGCTTTTCGAGCAATCCTCCATTAACAGTAAAAAAAGATTTAAAAAGTGCTTACACGGTATAACTATTTAGCCATTGTTGGTATTGCTTGGTAATATACTTTTTTTTAACCAATCGAAGACAAATCTTAAAAATTAAAAAGAGGCATAAATTGGTAAAAGCTCGCTTGTATTAATATACAGGATGTCCCGAAAGGACTACTACGACATTATTTGGTGCAAAAGAAGAGATKATCTGACTTAACTTTCATTCCGAAAAATTGTCTCGCTTTTCTGCTATCAATGGTCAAAATTCTTCAAGACAGTTACGTTTTATGAAATATCGAGARAATACCAATGATTTTAATTAAACTCGCTGTGAATGAATTCTTATGTAAGACTCATATCTTGATGAAGCAACCGAGTCCATCCGCTTTGTGCAGGTTGTGAATTCTTGAGGTTGTAAATTCTTGAGACAAAAACTACCAGAACTTTTTATTTGGTAGCTGGAATCAACAATTTTTTTTTGAGTTGATGCTCTAGTCCTTTCTGGAGATTTTTGTGGTCTTTGTAAAATCTTTTGCCCAAAAAAATATTTCTGTTATCTAGCCAATTAACAATTTAACACATTAATTAATTTTTTGTATTCACTAGCGTAATCGATTTGTGCCTTCGTAAAGGCCATATTTTGAAAAAGATCCTGAGCTCATCCGAAAAGTTCGCTTCTTTTCGTCGAATTTATCAGGAACAGAATTCAGTCGAAAATGCTTCTATAGGACGATCGACCAAGACTTTGACCATGTGGGTCAGTAAGTATGATTAGAAAATGCTTGACAATAAT